CTTCTTCTTCTTCTTCTTCTTCTTCTTCTTCTTCTTCTTCTTCTTCTCTCTCTCTCTCTCTCTCTCTCTCTCTCTCTCTCTCTCTCTCTGGTTTTTCAAGACAGGGTTTCCCTGTGTAACAGTCCTGGCTGTCCTGAAACTTGATCTGTAGACTGGGTTGGCCTCGAACTCACAGAAATCCATCTGCCTCTGCCTCCCGAGTGCTGGGGCTAAAAGCGTGCGCCACCACCGCCCGGCTAGAGTTTTTCTTCTAAACCTGAGGTTCTAGAGAGAACTCAGAATTTTCTTCCCCAAGCTTCACAATATCGAATGTCCTATGGGTTCCTGAAGTCTTTCCACGTGTCCTTCCTGGGTTTTAGAAATCCTAGATTATTTTCATTTCACTGGACCTGCGTGTGCCTCCATGAATTCTTGGGGGGGGGGGTGTCCTGGGCTCTGCGACGCCAGCAGGCCCCTAGGGGGCGCCTTTACACCACACGCTGAGCTCTCTGGCGGGGCATCCAGGCTCTTCTGTGCCTCGCTCTTGAAGCTCACCTGTCCTGTTCCTCCCAGCACATCTTAGTACGAGCTGACTGGAGCATGCATGGACTTAATGACCTCACACTGTAAGCAAATGCTGTATTTCTGAAGGTTAGGGTGTTATTAGATCTTGCCCTGTGCTATGTGCTGTGGGAAGCTGAGCAAGTCTGTGTAAGTTAGTCCAGGGGTCAGAGAGATACCTCTGTAAAGAGTCAGACATTTCGGCTTTCCAGACCACTCACACTCCTGTTGCAGACTGCACTTTGATTGTATAACTTGGGGAGAAAAAGCCAAGTCAGATCTTGTCACCGGTGGATACCTATAATTCAAGCAGTTGGGCGGTAAAGACAAGACCCAGGTGCCTTCACCTTCCCAGGCCTCCATGTAATCCATCCTTGTCACAGTGAGAGCTGCAGCCTCGCACAGTTGTTTAAAGGCCCCACCACTGCTGCCTGTTTTCTTGGTTAGAATTCAAACAGTCCCACTTAACAGAGCTGAACAGGTAGTTTTCTGGTTTCTCCACTAAGAGGAAACAGTGGAGTAAAATGGCCTCATCTCTCCTGTAGTAAAGCAAACGTTTCTCCTTGGAAGAAAAGTCTGAACGTGTAGCATGTGGCCCGGGGGCTGTTTCTGCTGTTTAGTGTTCCTCATTTGTGTGATGTCCGAGACTGGGGTCCCCACCTGTCGGTCTGCAGTGCTGAGCACCCCATCCCTGGGAGGCTTGTTAGTCCCTGAGCACACAGCTGGGAGCCCCTCACTCATCTTTAGGCATACCTGTAGTTCCCTGAGGCAGCTATAGCAATTTCCACAGCACATTCTGACACCTGAAGAGCTCAAGCCATAGCCGTGGGGACAGTAAGTGGGGGCACAGTAGAATGAAGATGCATCCGGGTCCACCAATGGGAAACCAGAGACCCAGAGGGAGAAAGACCTTTCCCAAGGCCACACAATGAGTACAAGAAAGGATTTGAACTCAGGGCTCCAGAGTCCTGTGTTCTGTGCAGTCTCCAGCCACAAGCCCCCAGACACATGCTGTCTCTGCCTTCTTGTCAAATTCCTCTTTTGGCCATGCTTGTGAGATTACCTCAGGCCCAGACAATCACTGTGGTTCAGGCTGATGTTCAGTGACATCAGCCGTGTCTTGCCCCTTCCGCTTCATGACTTCCTGTATCACTCTGACTACATTGTATTCTTGTTCAAATCCAGGAAGAGATCAGAACATTGGTGAGAATATTCTCCGAAAAACAACTTGGCATTTCCCCCCGCAAGTTAAATGTGGAGTGACCACATGACCAAACAAAATCAACCTTTCAGATGAACATGTACATCATGTAAAGGCTTGCTCACCGTCCTCGTGAGAGGGAAAAAGTGGGAACGGTCCAAATGTCCATCAGCTCATGAATGAACATGCAGGGAGCATACATTGGAACAATTACCCGGCAGTCAAGAAGAATGAAGTCCTGGTGCTTGGAATGTGGACGGATCTCAGAAACCTCCTATCAGCTGCCAGATGCTCATCACAAAGACCACACATCACACGACTCTGCTGATCCAAAATGTCCAGAGTAGGCAGGTTCACAGGCAGGAGGAGATTAGTGGTTTTCAGAGGCTGGGGGGACAGGAGGTAGTGGACGGAGGGTTTCTTCCTTGGTTGATGAAAATGTTCTGGGATTAGATCGTGGTAATCATTGCATAACTGCAAATATACTAAAATACACTAAATTGTACACTTTGAAAAGGTGAGTTTTAAGGTGTGTAAATTATATCTTCTAGAAAGGTGGTCTCTGGTTAAAACCCAAGGTGGGGGATGAAGCTGGAGGAACGCTGAGATGACGAGAGGGTTGCAAGGTGAAGGCAGCCGGGTTCCTGGGCCTGACAGAGCGTGTCTCAGCAGGTCTCCTACTCAAGAAGCAGAATGGTGGAAAGGTGCCTACCTTATAAGGTAGCTACTCGGGCACAAACTAGAGTCTCAGAGCTTCAACTAGCCAGGAACATGAGCCAGTCAGTCAAACTTACTACTGGTAACCTCAGTTTCCTCATCCATAAAATGGTACAATAGGGTTGCTCTTACAGATGGTGGCATGAAGACTGGGAAGCATATAGTCATAGACCTTTGACATCTGCGTCTCATTTCTTCCCTAATCTCAGGGGCCACCCCTTCAATATTAGGTGTTTATGTTCCCCTATATGGGCTGGGGCTCTTTCCTGATTGAGTGTTCCTCAAACAACAGCATGTATGGGATTATTTCTTTCCTGGTTCTCAGATTCTGCACATTTGATATATAGACAAGCACAGTGTGTCTCTCTGAACCCGGAGCTCACCAATTGGCTCTAGAGTGAATAGCCAGTGAGTTCCCAGGGTTCTCCTAGCTCTGTAACCCCTAACCCTCCCAGTGCTGGGGTTACAGGTGCACATCTGTAGTGAGCTTGGGCACTCACCTGGAAGTGACCTCACTCTTGCTTGGCTTTTTACGTGGGTTCTGGGGATCTGAACTCAGGCCCTCATATTTATGTAGCAAGCTCTTTTACAGACTGAGCCATCTCCCCAGTTCCCAGCCAAGGCTTATTAAAGTAAACTGTGCATCAAATCACCCCAAGGTGAAATGCAAATCTGATCCATAGGTCTAAGATGGAGTCAGAGAGCCTGAATTTCTACAAGAGAGGAGAGGCTGCTGTTTCTGACCCTGGAGATCCCCAAACAGCAAGCATAGCTAAACTGCTGAAAATGCAGCTGTCTTTTGATAATTCTAGTGTAGTGTTAAAATAAGTATGTGTTTCATAACTACAAGATCTTGTGAAGATAGGGCTTGAAATAATACCAATGCATGTTATTTTGAGTTTTTATTACACACACACATACACACACACACACACGGAGTGTGTGTATGCATATCACAACATACATGTGAAGGGGACAACCTACCATGTGGGTCTCAGGGACTGAACTCAGATCATCAGCTTGGTGGCAAGTACCTCAATCCACTGAGCCATTTTCTCTGCCCAAATGTTATTTTAAAGTCCCTTTATATTCACAGAATTATCTATGGCGTCTATGAGGGTTGTGTGTAAGAGATCTGGTTTCGAGCCATTAAAATGAAATTCAATTAGAGGCATGGTTATTGTTTCTAACAGTTCTCTGATTTCCTTAGACTAAGTCTAGGAGCAGGTAGTGTAGCCAGAGATTGTTTTTGCTTGTCACTTGGAAGCCCTGCCTGCATTAATTTCCTTATGGTGCCACTTCAGCTCTTCATTCTGGTCCTCAGTAGGTAAAGAAGGCAGCGTTTAGGATACGGAGGGGAGAACTCCAGAAATGGGTACCCTCAGATATACGAGATACAAAGCCATCGGTATTTCTACCCTGACTCTCATTGCCCCCCGCCCTCCTCAGAATTGACAAATGTCAGTCTTGCCTACCTCTACGCAAGTATGTTTGGGATCCAAACAGCCATTTGCTATCTTCTTGCTCTTGTTATTTATGAGAAAACAGAAAGGGTGAAGGTCACTGGCCTTTAGTGCCTGGCTAGCCTTCCTTCCACACAACATGTTGTGTCTATGGGACTGAGGCCCTTGACAACTCCAGACCTCTGGAGGAGAGAGGAGAAATCTTCTTCAGAGTCTGGTAGGCACAAGTCTAATGTGGTTTTCGGCATTGGAGGTCTCAGTCTAAGGAGGTTTACAAATGCTGGGGTGTGGCATGGCTGGGAGTTTTGCAGAGCTTCCAGGCTTTCCAATGGGTAGCCTGGATTACAGACTGCTGGACTGAAGAGTTAGAATGTCCACCTTCCACCCTGTTCCCACACCGGGTTCTTCTATCCACTCTGCCCCAAAATGGAGATGATCCTCACTCTGAACTAAACAGCATATAAAGTTTAGCTCTTCAGGACGAAGCTAAATATGTGAGACATGGTTGGAAAATGGGTTTTCCCCTTGGTTCTGCCACTTCCTATTAGAAAGGCATCTGCAAGATGAAAGACATGAGATCTGAATCTGTGGTCTTCCACAAAAACAAACTCCAAATGGACCGAGGACCTCCAATGTGAAATCAGAAACTGCTCCATGAAATAGGCAGCACCTACAGGCGACAGGAAAGAACTTTCTGGAGAGGACTCTTGCCCAGGAGTTAAGGCCAACGATTGACAAGCGGAACGTCATAAAACTAAAAAGTTTTGGCTTAACTAAAGAAACAGTCAAATAGAGGTAGGCAGTGGTGATACTCGCTCTTAATCCAATCCCAGCACTCAGAAGGCAGAGGCAGGTGGATCTCTGAGTTCAAGGCCAGCCTGGTCTACAGAGCTAGTTCCAGGACAGTCAGGGCGATGCAGAGAAACTTTGTCTCAAAAACCAAGACAAGACAAAAACCAAAACCAGCCCAACAAAAAATGAACTAAAAAAACAAGGATTCAAACAAAACAAGCACCAAATAATTCATTTAAAAATGGGCTATGAATCTGAAGAGAGAGTCATCAAAAGAAGAAACAGAAGGCTAAGAAATCACTCGAGAAATTGTCCTTGCCCTGAACAACTAAAACAGCTGAAATTTCATCTGACCCCAGCCAGAATGGCTAAGATCAACAAAACAACCAGATGCCTATGCTAGAGAGAATTTTGGGGGAAAGGAAACCCTCATTTGATGTTGTTGGGATTGCAAATTGGTCTAATCACTCTGAAATTCAGTGTGGAAAAAAAGCTAAAAATAAATCTGCCCTAAGGAGTTGAAGCTCTCTTCCACAGAGAAGCTCAGTTATGCTCACTGTTGCTCTATGCACAGTGGCCAGGAAATGAAAACAACCTAATAGTTGATGGATGGATAATGAAAATGTGGTACATATGCGACGAGATGTTATTCAGTTGTAAAGGAAAAGGAGACCATAAAATCTGCAGGTAGATGGACAGACGAGAAAGTATTGCACTGAGTGAGGTGACCCAGACAGACAAACCCTGAATGAATGATCTCTCTCATCTGCGGCTCCACACTCCAGATCTCAGTGAGTTCATAACCCGAGTGTTGCAGAAATCAGGAAAGTGAAGAGCGGGGGGGACACTTGGGGGCGGGCTGGCAGGTCTAGGTGGGGTGATGTGTAAAACCTGGACAGTGCTTTTTATAGGGAGGGAGAGGGGAGTCACCGCAGAAGGTGAGGAAGGACCAAAAGGACACTAGGGCTATCTGAAAAAAATCCTAAGGAATACCTAGAATTACATAGAATACATACGAATAGTATATAGACTACATGTAAGTTTATGTGTATACATATATAGTTTAAGGGGCATATATCACTTGGACTGACAATGCTCTCTGCAAGAGTCATAGATTATCGAGTAAAACCCCCAATACCAGGCATGAGAAACCCCTTTTTGAGTTGTCCTTGGGGAAGTCCAAGAGACTCCACCCACAACAGTCTAGGCTGCTGCTGTTGCCCTAGGCTGCCTTCCAGACACAGAAGGTGAGTTCCTATTGTTGAAGATATCGTGTATTTCAGACAGAAAACCCAGAAGACCGGCCCATGCAGAATGTGACTTGGAAACTTCCTCCTGGCAATGAACTTCTAAAGGACCGAAAAGTGCTAAGGAAGCTTCCAGCCTAGGGAAGCATCCCGCAGTCCTACCTACCTGAATGCCTATGAACCTTGACAACCAGCAAGGTGTGATAATGCTAAGAGTGTAATAGCGGTATTATTAGCTTAGTAATAGTAATATTATGTAGTAACTAATATCTAAGTGGTAGCCAACAGTTCTCTCATTGGACTCAAGGCCCACTCAATAAGAAGGAAAGAAAGCAATGCTTGGTACTGTAAACCTAGCTGACTCCCTGAGGCTGGTGAGGTCTTGGATCTTAGAGGAGAAATGATACCACCACTTAACTGGGCCAGTATCAATCCTAACTGCATTCTAAATATTTATCCTTATACCCACATCCCCACAGATAAGTGTGACTCTCACCCCATCATCAAAGAAACCTCTTTTGCCAGGTGGTGGTGGTGCACACCTTTAATCCCAGCACTTAGGGGGCAGAGGCAGGTGGAACTCTGTGAGTTCGAGGCCAGCCTGGTTCCAGGACAGCTAGGGCTGTTACACAGAGAAACCCTGTCTCAGAAAAAACAAAAACAAAAACAAAAAAGAAATTATTTTTGTCACAGACAGAGATCTTTATAGAAAACCACACCTGATCAAAAAGCAGAGAATAAATGTTTGTAGGATCCTAAGCCCCAATTGGTACATCTACAATACGGCTCCTGCATCTACGGCTCAGGGAACATCCCAGAAAGACGCAGGAGAAGGACGATAGAAGCCATAGGGCCAGGGTATCTGCTGTGATATCGTGTCTTAGAAATGACAGAGAAGCTACACCCATGATACCTCGGAGGGTTGCCTAAAGAAGTCCTGAACAAGGATGACACCAGCAGACATGCTAATGCAGACAAGGAACCCCTAGACAAGGAACTACAGGCAATTAATAGATGCTGAGAATGGGAGAATTAGTCTCTCCCAGGATGAGCCCCCTAATTGGTTATCCAATACCAAGTGGACGGCCCCCAAATAATATCCACATAAGTAACATTAGATGGACTGAACAGGTTGTATTTCTGTATTTAAGCGTGTGTGTGTGTGTGTGTGTGTGTGTGTGTGTGTGTGTGTATTAATTAAAGAAAAAAAGACCATGCTTATGAGAGAGAGAATGATGCTTGGGGTTCATGGGATTGGAGGAATGAAAGAGATGGGGAGAATG